GTCTGGATAAGTAGACGTTGGTGGTGGTTTTGGTGAAGGCAACTGACCTGCTGCACCATCGGTTGCAACCGTAAGGCAATGTTTATAATAAACGCTGACAAATATTTATTAGAATACTAGAAAATGATACAGAAATATGTGACGCCACAGCTGTGGTGGTCGGTGTATGTAATTATATTGTAACGTAGTATTTTACCACGTTACTAGTTCTCGACCGTTTCGCGATTCTAGAGACTTCCACCAGACGGGAAGTCACCTTCAGTGGTGAGAGTTTTGAGCAGAGAGAAAAAATATGTTTGATTTATTTTATTTGTTTTATTTTTGAATCAAATCACGCGCCACCGCGTTCGTGCTGAGGACGTCATCAAGGATCCTGGGGAAGCCGGAAGATGTCATTAGTCTTCGTGATAATTTGGATGATAACTGAGTGTTTGATTTGGCCGACATTGTAGCTACAATCCAGGAATCATTTACCCGGAAGTGACGCAGTTTTGTCGTGCACGTGGCTGTTGACGATCATCAAATATTCATTCGATATTGATGTGAGAGAATTATTTCCCTCAGAGCAACGGAGGACGCAGGGTCTATTTAGAGTTAATGAGGATGCGTTTATGATATGTTAACATGGATCAACTACAATTAATTAACCGATTTAAGCATAGCTGAAAATAATAGCGCATGCGTTATGATTAATTGTTCTGTTGCGCATGTCTGTTTGAGTGGGATTGGTGAATGATGACGTTGTCACCCCCACCATTACCTAATATCACCGCGTTACCTGCCTGTTGCGAATTTTCACGTGTCTACGAAAATCACTTCCTGTTTGGTGGATACCGACAGCGGACCTGCTGTCAATTTTTGTGCAGAGGACACCAGAAATTTATCAAAGACGTCATTTCACCTGATTATTTATTTTGAGGCTGTGGAGCATTTTGGACGGATTTGAGGAAATTTTTGGAGGTTTCGGGTGAGCGTGGTGGCCATTTCTTTTGTGTTTTGAAGAATTTGTTAAATACTGTGGGCAGAGATTCTATTTATTTTGTTGGTGTTACGTACACCTGTGTCCTGTGGACCATTTGTTGGATTATTCTTTCAGAGAATCTCTGGCCACTTCTTTCAGTGATTTTGATTTTCTCTCTCAAATCCGAAAATTTGCTTAAATTTAGTTTATGTAAAATTTTGTTAGCTACGATTTTAGTGAGGTTCTGCGACTTCTGTTGGATGAATTTGTGTCGCAAAACCTGGAGATTCTCGCCATTGAATTAAGTTTCATTTCAAGGTCTCGTGACGCCGGGAAATTTTGTCTCTTGTGATTTTATTTTTGTTGTATTTCTTTTGCGTCTTCGAGGTCACGTAGAATTATCGATTCTCGCGTTATTGTTTCGAGTCACTGGATAATTTTCACAATTTATAACATTTCATTTCTGATTAAATTCTCTGACTTTTCCGACAGCAATTGAGTTTCGTAACTCAGTTGTTTTATTTAGTTTATTATTTCCTTCTGACAACATCAACTTGAGTCTTGTGACTCAGTTGTTTATTGTTTATTTATTGCCGACTCATTTGACTATTTTATTATTATTTATTTATTCATTTTTTCAAATATTTGTTTGACTTCAGAAATCTTTATTAAATTTTTAATCCGACAACAGTGGTATTGTTTTATAAATTGAATTCGTGTTTTGTAACGCTTGGTCGACTTTAGGGGATTTATTTATTTATTTTTTTTGTATCGCGATTATTATTTTTTTTTATTAAAAATTGTTCTCCCCGACAATCTTAATAATTTATTTACTCTGTTAGAAATCTCAGTTGCATCCCCTTTCAGCTTCCGATTATTTGAATCTCTACGTAACGAGCTACATGAGTTATTGAAGCTGAGAGTGGAGAAGGATTTTGTTTACGGTGGTCATTCCGTTTTTAATGATCTGGCACCTGACTGGATTTTCTGATTTTTGTTTTTGAGGTGTTTTTGATGCCAGAGGGCGAGCTGATGGACGAAGGGTTCCGTGAACCTTCGGAAATTACGTCGCAATATATATTCTCTCTACCGCTCGGTTAGACACGGTGGAATGGTGGGCTTTCCTAGTCCTCCCTAGGGACTAGTGCTTGCTTCCGACGTTGGCGCTGGTGGCAGGCTCGGCCGATAATCTCGGGCGCTGCTGAGGGTGCAGACAGTGGAGGAAGGAAGTTATCTGGCGAAGGCCGAAATGGCCTAGGATCGTGAGAATCAGAGTATGAAAAATGATTTTTATTTTATTTTAATAAATTGAATCACGTTCAATATTTTTATTACGTTGCAATGTTTGTATTTATACAGAATCGATTTAACCCAGTCATTTCCGAATTATGTTAGGACGGTTTTTACAACCCTGCAGCATCCGCGACTGTTATACTGAGCGGTCAACCGCTATCCGTATTGGTCATTGTTAATTTTTCGGTTCTTTGATCGTTTTATTCACAACGTTCTGGCGCCTAACATGTGTCGCTTTTTATTTGGTTATGCCCAATACATAATCCGAAGATCCCGGGTTTAAAATCCGGTCAGTGCTATCCATTATTTTAGTAAGTCTTGAATGCATGACAACATTTCCACGAACAGGATGAGAAGAAATATACGCGTAATTAGTTGAATCGATACTGATGATTTTCTGCCACAAGTTCTCGATATTGACAACCTTTGATGTCGTTCACACTGTTCAATGACTTCGGAGCTGTGCTGGATGCAATTATTCGCCTTTTAAAAATAAATAATTAATTGACTCGACTTAACATTTTCACGGCGGTTATTTATTACCCGACGCTGGACTCGGCTTGGAGATTTCGACTTTATGTTCTTTGGATTTTCGTCCTGATCAATGAGATGTTCTCAGTGAGGTACCGCGATTGCTTCCGGATATAACTTATTTTAAACAGCACCCTTAATTGGCCGTATCTTCTCGGGCTCCCGACTTGGCCTCGAACGATTACACCAATTTAGATAATTGATGATCTCGCCTGGGAGTACTTATAGTACTTATAGAAAAACCAGCATGCCTCCTGCTATATTATCGGCTGAAGATATTCCCAATTCATTGTTTCAGGAAATTTTTTTTTTATGTATCAAATAACTTTTGCATCGAGTTTCTCTACGGCCGAAGTTGGACTCTACAATTTCTGAATAATACTGACAATTCTCTGCTGTCTGGCAGCACTCTAGTACACACCTGATTTTGCTGTTTAATCACTACTTCGTTCTCTGGTAGCTCAAATGTATCATTGAGAAATGATTCATAAGTGCAGTCAATTTTATAATTATCATTATTTTTATTTTTCAATTAGGGGGTGGTTTATGGATCACTCCTTCACTCCTTTATGAATTTTGCTGAACGTTCTTCTAGTGCAGGTGTCACTTTACGAAGAGATTTCTTTTGTTAACGTGGTATTTTCCACTACTTCAAAATTGAGAATTTAGGAAATTTCCGGAGTTTCAATTTTTCGACTTTATCTGCTTTCATTTTTACATAAATTTTTTCTATACATAGAAATTATAACTTGGCATTGTGTATTGAAATAAAGAAAGATTTGATCTGTTCTATTGTTGGACAGCCCGTGGCTTATTATACGCTCAAAGGCGCTAGAAGTTTCCTGAAATTTCGTGAGCGACAAGAATGAGGCGATATTTGTTTCGGTTTCTCATTCAGGAGATATTCGAGATATTACACATTGAGTATAAATGAAATTGACATTGTGGCTTGCGACACAATACCTTAATTCCTTATTGCAGAATCTATTGATCTGGTTTGCGGATAAACTTTTCAATCCACTAAACATAATAATGAAACTGCCATTACGTTTACAGGAATAACTCATCACGTGGAATGGTTAGTAGTTTGTTATTGTTTATTTTCGGAGGGCGAACGAACGGTTCTTAATTGCTGGGTTAAGGTTGTTGTCGCGTAGAATTTTTTTTCGACAGTTTTCGTTAAAAATTTTATGGTGAATAGTTTGAAAAGTTAGCAACAAAATGAGCCTTTTCCGTTTGCAATTGACCGTTTTGAACTTGAGACATAAATTTTTGAAATTCGAGTAATTTAACACGTGTTTAAATGGAGTTTTGCCGATTAGAATTTTTTAAAAATCAACGGCTCGACAGTTTCAGAAATAAAAAAAAACGTGGAATATACATCGTGGGAGGAAATACAGAAAAAAAAATCAAATCGATTGACCGTTTGGTTTACGGAATATAATTATCGGAAATTCATAAATTTATATAATTGAAAATAGTTAACATGGAAAATATATAGTTATGCTTTAGCTATCCATGCACAATGCAATCAATCAAGTGAGACTATATACCGCTAAAAGATTGTGTTCTAAACTGGCCCGTTTTACAGCGGATAAACTTTTTACAGAGACTGTCGCGCGACAACAACCTTAAAGAAAAGTATAGCTGTGCTTCTCATTTAGTAAGTTCAATTCATTAACTACTTCGCAATTTGAATGTTGTAATGCTCGGAGATCGATACGGAGATCTTGTGCTTCCATTGCCTTGGCTAGGGGTGTTTTATCTCCCTTACTCCCTTACTAATTACTCTTACTTTTCTGCGCAGGAGAATCTGCGGGAAGACTTCTGCAGGTTCTAAATATTCCTATGATACTTACTTTTCGTTATTTCTTCGTGTTTCTTATTCGACATTTTTATATTTGAGTGAGGAACGAGGATTAGTCTTCGTGACAAAGTAAATGGAAATAAATTTAATATAGAGTATTATAGACGCACAGGAATATTAAAGATTCATAAACCAAATGGGACAAAACATAAATTCAGGGCTCCTCAGTACCCGTCGCTTAAGTGTACGGCTGTTGTATTGACTAGATACGAAGCGACCTGAACCCATTTCATTTGGTAGAGACAGGCGTCGCATCGAACTTGTTCGGAGTCGTAGTACGTCTAAGTAAACTAGGTACGCAAAAAAGGTCCAGTAATTGGAATTCTATTTGAACAAGCGAATACTTACCGAATATAGGACTTCGTTTTTCTGGACAAAGATGGTGGAAAGGCAGCTCAAAATATTTGTCTAGTTGGTCATTCATTTGTGCGATGAAGCACTCACGGTCCCTACATAAATTAAATTGCCAAGTGAGGATTTTAACATTCCACATGATGGAATCCATTACCGCTCAGTGATTAATCGATCATTGAAAGCTCGGAAAGTTTCGTGAACCCATAGACGAAGAAAAGTTGAACGAGAATATTGATAATCTTTATGGCTTCTCAAAAGTCCTTGGAATACTTTGGAAATGTCTCGAAGGTTGAACATGTAGTGAATTTTCAACGGCGTTGGTAACATTATTTGAGTCATGTTCTTGTATATTTGCAGTGTTGATAATGTGATCTCATCAGCTAATGAATGAGGGAATTTGATAAAACTTCAAAATAGTTTTTTTTTAAATCATTGTGATAAGTATAATTAATTTTCTTACTGATTCCTTTCACCTCGGGATGGAAATCAAATAGATGTTGGTTCAACAAAATAGTGTAAATTCTAAGAATCTGTTTATCTGTAGGGAACGTGATGTTGATGCTGCTGAACTTCGTAAGAAGCCGTTCTGTAATCGTGTTACGTCCACCACCCGGGGGACCCATAGCGGCTATTAGGTTTATTTTCTGGATGTACATGCGATTTTGATTTTGACGATCATACCTGTTAGACGGGAATCAATTTTAGGCGATGGAAAGAAATTAAGGTAAATGTATGGTTCAAGTCCAGCAAGAAGTAAAAAATCATTGAAATATTAATTTCTTTGAATGAAAATCATTCTTATCCTCTTAGTCGTCAAAAAAAAGACGGATGAAGAGAGAGAAAAAACAAGAAGGGAAATATATCGATAAATAGTCCTGAGGTAAACTCTGTTGTCCCTGAAAGTCTTTAAACCCGCCCTTCCCTCTGTTGTCGCTGTTGAAGCGACGAGTGGGTGATATTAAATTCAATATTTGAATAGCTACAAAAGGGTAGTGGCAGGTAAGTCACTCGTGGTGTTCGTTCAGCGATGGTAAATGGTCGGGTGAGGTGAATTCAGAGTTTTAGTGAAGTGCTCAGGACTATTAGATAAATCCATCTTTCCGTGGGTCCATTGTCTTTAAATGTGCTAACATGTGGTGTCTTTGGGGCCGACACACGGCCACGTCCTCGCTGTGGCCCTGGATAACGCAGAGAGCGGTGTATTAAATGTCATATCTTTTCACTAATTGTTTCAGGATAAAATGGTAACCACATCCTTAATCAAGCGACGAAAACCCATCCAACCAAATGAAAAACATCCAGAATGATTTGGTGGACGTGAACTAGACATTTACCGGAATTACTATGAAATGAACTATCTCCTGCACTGCTAAATCTCCCTGTATGCTTGTGAAAAATACTTGTTCACGTATGCGAGGGACAATGAATATTCACAATCAATATCTATAATAATATGGTTAGATTGGATCATAAATAGTATTAACTTTTTATGGAAACGTGGTTAGATCATATTATAAACGGTAATAGTACTAGAATGAGTAGGCTTAGTGTAAAAATGACCCAGGACTCTGTACCGAAGTTTTTCTCAATAGGAGTCAAAATTTCCGTAAATATACGTCATCGCTGCATTGCCGAGAGTGGATTAAGAAAAGAGCCATCTGACAAGAAAAACTTTCTCCGATGAGGGACAAATTCTGCAGTCAGTCAGAATGAAAATTGGAAGTTGGAGAAAACTCGAATATTGTTAACGATTAGAGAATAACAGTGAGCGGTAGGAATTGTTTTTTTAAAAAATCGTTTTTAAAAAGAAATCGCTTTTCAAATTCTGGAAATTTTTTATTTGTTGACCTCATTGTGCGTGGCTTCTGGCGCGTTTTATGAGTTTCGAACTTCTCGATTTGTTTAGGCCTGTTCGGTAGAGAAATTTTGAAGAATTTTTTAGGGTCACTGACAGCAGCATACAACGACGTAAAGATAAAAGGTCGCCTAATAGGAGGTGATCCACAGGGTGAGGCCTGATGAACTTGTGGAGAATCTAAGGGAATAGGGTCTTCTTGTATATAGCCACGCTGATGACGTAGTCATTATTGCAAGTGGGAAATTTCTTAACGCGCTAGGGGACAGATCAACCTATTCCCTAAGAACGTTAGAAGAATGGTGTGATGAGACGAAATTCTCGATCAACCTCGCAAGAGGTGGCCTTCGATCTGCCACAGTTTGACCTCGTGCTGATAAGCAAGGCAGAATCAGCTACATAGAGAGTGATATGTCAAGGGGAATGGATCTCAGCCAGGGCAGCGAACGCCGATCTGGGTATTCTAGAAAAAAGCCCCTTAAATGAAAAACATCGCAGAATCACCAGGAAGGATCAGACCAGGAAGTCTTTTCGAACTTATATTTAGAAAAGGAAAAACCGGAAAACTGTCAAATGATCACCAAGCTATAACTTCATGCATTGGTATACGAACGGTTCAGGATACAGGGCCGATTTTGGGATGGACTAGATGGACTAGCGAAGTACTATGGAAACAGCTGTTCTCTTGGAACCAAAGCTACAGTGTTTCAGCAGAAGTGCTGGTCATCAAGAAATACCCAGAGGTTCTGGCAAATAGGCAGATGATGAACAAGTATATATATGTATATTAATTTTTATATTATTTTTATATGATTTTTGCTAAGGTGATCTTGTTGCGTCCATCTCTCTCTATATATATACAGGGTGTCCGAGATAAAATTGTACACCCAAATAACTATTGAATGTGGGTAGTAATCGAAAAATCTTTCAAATAGAAGTTGTAGGGCTCCAAGTGGGAAAAATAATGAGGTATGTTTTGAGCATTTAAGTCTTCATCTTTTTATGCTACAAGCATAAGTTCATTTTTTTCATATGGGATCAAAAATTTTCTTGTAACAAAAGTTGTTGTACTCGATGAGATGAATCACATAATGTGTTTTTTATGCTTTCTGAGCTCAAAAATACTAAAAATGGAACTTGTCAACGATATTCCAAATTCAGACATGATAAACAGAAAGTGGTTTTTAAATAAGAACCAGTAAACACCAAACTGTAAATACCAGAGCTATCTGGTGGACCTTAGTGTTTATTGTTTCTTAGTTAGTACGAATCGGGTCATTATTGAGTTCAGATTATTTTTGAGTGATTTCGCGTATCATGGTTTATTCTGCAAATGAAGTTGTGGATATTCTACTGGTTTTGGGAGAATGCCGAGGTGCCTATCGCGCGGCCGCTCGATCGTATCGACAACGGTGCCGAAACCGATTACGTCATCCCTCAGCTTCATGCATTCGGATTATCGAGAGAAATTGTCGAAGAGGAAGAGTTCTGCAACGACGACAACGACAACAACGGATGAATCCTGACAATCCTCGTACGCTTACCGTTTTGGCCATAGTTCACATGAACCCTCACATCTTTTTAAGAGAAATTGAGAGAGATTCAGGTATTCCACGAAGCACAGCTCACGATATTTTGAAATCGAACCGTTACCATCCATATCATATCAGATTGACACAAGCACTGTCTGCACAAGATAGACAGAATCGTGTTGCTTTTTGACACTGGGCCATAGGGATCTTGAACGAAAGTCCCGAGTTTTTCCAAAATGTCCTTTTCAGTGATGAAGCAACGTTTAAAAGTACTGGCGCATTAAACCGTCATAATTCGCATTATTGGTCTATGGAAAATTCTCACTGGACTCAGCACATTGACCACCAGCATCAGTGGAGTGTAAATGTGTGGTGTGGCATTGTTGATGGGCAAGTGATTGGGCCGTACTTTTTCAACGGAACACTCACGGGTCAACGCTATTTACAGTTTTTACAAGATGACCTCCCAGTTTTATTGAAACATGTACACTTTGACACAAGACTAAGAATGTGATTTCAACAAGACGGTGCGCCACCGCATTTTGCACTTTGTGTAAGGAATTATTTCAATGGTCTATTTCTGTTTCTGTTTCTGTAAATGTATACCCAAACAATTCAGAATAGTTTGAAATGTTGAGATTTATTGATGCCTGAGAACTTTTCTTATCAACGGCTTCACTTTTGTGAAAAAATGCGATTTTTTTCACACAAATTATTAAAAAATCGTCGCGTAAACATATACTCAAACGATTGAGAATGACCTGAAACGTCAAGATTTATTGGTCCCTCGGAACCTGTTTTTTTCGACGGTTCTATTTTTGTTAACAAATTCCACAATTATTAAACAAATGGGGGAACAATATTCTAGGAAATTTATGTTGAACCCATTGAGAATTGTGAAAAGCGTCGTGATTTAGTGGTTCCTCACAACCTTTTTATCAGTTCTATTTTTGTTAACAAACTCCAAATTTGTCAAACAAATTGTTGAAAAATCTTTACGCTAATGCATACTGAAACGATTGAGAATCTCAGTGGCTCGGACGATTGTCAATGGTTGGAGCATAAATTTGCGAAACAATTTCTCCCCCATTTGCTTAACAATTTTTGAATTTTTTAACAACCATGGAAAAAAAGGTTCCGAAGGACCAATAATTTTTCACTCCTCGTTTGCAATTTTTGCTTGGCCATCATACCCCCACTCCGCATTACATCATATGTCTTCGTTCGTTTCCGGACATCGTCGGTCTTCTCGAATTATCGAGACTTTCTGGCTCGCGACCTGTTTGGCTTACAGGTACGTCCTCTGTTTTAGTACCCTAACCGCATCTACGAATCCTTTTCGTTGGACCGGCGCCATAAGCGTTAGCAATCACCTCTATAATCTCTGGTATCACACTACACTGTTTCCAATCACTGAACGCGATAAATGAGAATTCAAGTCGCGCTACTAGCTCAGTGGCTCAAGTGTAACCCGTTAGTTGATAGAGGTAAAAGAAACTGCGAAAAATCTGCATGATAGGTCATTGCTATCTGCATATCTTCGTTAGTATTCAATAATTAAACCGATAATTGGATCAGTTGAAAGCTGATACGCGATTTATATGATGTAACTTAGACGAGTTTTCATCGAAATGATGGCTTAGAGTTATTATCTGAAAAAAATGGATTAGATGCAGTGGAAGGGGAAGATATGTGGTGTATAGATACCTGGTAGCTCTCGGTAGTCTTTCGCGTATAGAAGCTGTACTTGGCCGATACGCTACCGCATATCTCGATCTAAGGAGACAGCTTTATAAGAGGATTTCCCCGGATTAACTCCCCGGAATTATCCTCGAACTATCCTGGCTGCTGTCTCAATCGTTCGCGATTGAGCGTCAGGTAGGTTTTTATAGAAAACCTGACGAAAACCAGCGAGGAAGGTTCGTCTACTTCGCGGAACTTTGATGGCGGATCTCACGATGGCGAGCTAGCATCAGCATGAAACGGTAGAGTGGGCGAGGTTCACCGACGTCTGAATAACTCTAGTTACCTACTTCAGCCGCACTTGCAGCGTCGTTAAGATAAAACTATTGGAGGAACGTATTCCCCTGTTCTTTCACGGAAGGATGTTGCCACCCCTCACACCTCCTCTACCCTCCTCCCTGATCCTCCCTCATCCCGAGGGAAAAACATCAATGTCCAAATTAACACCAACAAAAAGTGGGTGTTACGAAAAGGCACGATAATGAAACACCGAGAATGATAGCCAGCACCGCTGTAGGAAAGAGAAAAGAAGGCGACCTAAGATGAGGAAAGTTAGTCGGCAGTGATGAGAGGTCAATGGCCCCAAACAACTGTGACATGTTACGCAGCCGGGTGAAAACGAGAGATGCCCTAACTGAACTGAGAGGGCCTCATTGCATTCTTTTTGTCATTTACAGAAACAATGAATTTATGAGTCCCCATGGAGTTCCAGCGCTGTACGAAAGTGAGTTAACAAAAAAGTAGGAAAACAGAGTACTAATAAACGAAGTCATCTAGCCGCTCTTCACCATCCTATTCAACGGTCACGATAGATGAAGCAATCGAATGCTATTTTGTATCGCGAAAACGTATTTCGGTTACTTCACACTTCTTGAAAATTGGTATTCAGTTGCTATGCTTTACGGGCATTATGTGAAATTATTTACGATCAAAATGTCGTTCGTCTCTCTAAGTCTTGCCTGCCAAATCTGCGCATCTGTCTTCAAAGATTCTGACGTTTCTCTTTCTCTCTCCGATCCCAGTAAAAGATAACCTCTCTTTCCGTCTATAGGGATTGGCCTGTGACCATCGCTAAAGAGGTTCTTCATACTAAGTAACCACAACATTTTCACCTAGCTCATGACCCCTGGTCTAAATCGAAGGTGCCCTTCGGAGTCGCCTTGTTGGAACGCCTGTACGTCGTTTTTGGATTCCCTACCACAGCTGGGCGAATTTCCAAATTATAACAAATTAGGTGACCGTTGACGTCAGCATTATCGTGGTATTCTGAACCATGGTCTCACCCTACCATGTTTCTTCCACTATGTGATTCGTCTCATTCACCTTCGGAGTGGCCTCATTAGCCGTCGTCTGATGCTTTGGTCATCTTTCGCTCGGCTCTTTCAGCAGGGGTCAGATGTCTTTTCCTACTATTAGTGACTTTTATGGTGACTTTCACTAGTAACAAGAACACTTCGTGATACCCGCCTGTCTAAAAGCATTAAAAGTATAAATATGACGAGCATAACGATTAAAAACTACGACTCATATAGAAAAGGCGACACGTATATTCAAAGGCATCTGGATTCGTTTTTCTCATCGGATAGGTGGCAATGGCTCAGTAACTAACCCAAGGTAACAACAAAAGAGGGCGGCCCTCAAAGAAAGTAGGCCGTCCGTAACTCACAAATGGACGACTTCAACCATGCATGCCCTGATGTGGAAAAAAAAAGTCTAATGGGCCATACTGGCCCCGAGCACATTCCCTCGTTAGTCACAAAGGGTCGATCTGAATCGTCACATCCCCAAAACCCGCTGCCTTCTTTATCTATATCCCTATTGTCTATAAAGGACTGTTTGTCGCAAAATGAAGTTAGTTCAAATAAATTTTCCGGTGCCTGATCTTCAAATCGATATCCTGGTTATCATTCAGTTGACTGCTCAATATCTGTTTTCACAATGTTAGCTCTGTGGAAGTCTAGTGTGAAAGGACAGCTCGATTCTTGTTACGCTGGATCATTTGTAATAGTTCCGTCGATTCCTGCTCATCAACTGGTATCCTGCCTGCCGTTCAGTTGATTTTTCAGGGAAAAGATAGTTTTGTGGAACCACCTGTTGCTGCTGCAACCGACCTCTAGTTTGAGCCAAAAATTCGAGTCCTTTCTTGCCAGGTTGGCCGCATGAATGCTTTCGAAATGGAATAGGTCGTTTTCAAATGGTACCCTGCCCGTCGTTCCATATTGCACACCCAATTCTGCGGGACCACCATTCGTCGCCGCGACTGTTCTATAACCATGCTAGTGGACAGACTCAGTGAATAAATGAGTTCGTTCTGAGTGTGCAACTCAGAATTTTCATTATCATCAGAGAGTCGTCGCTAAGCATGTGTGGACGCCTGGTCCCGGTAACTTTGCTTCACACAACACAAACGGCGCGGCCATACCTGGTGAAAATTTCGTCTCTCTGAAAACGGTTGCCCGCGATTATCGTTCTTGATTTCATCCGGGCCCGTTTTAAAACGTTGAAGCAGCTTTGTGGTCTAACGCAAGATCGACGAGTAACTTGCCTATAACAAGAGACACGCTTTCAGACATACTACGCGTCTGCCAATTTCCGCCGATATCATCAGCAATACCAATGATCTCCAACATGTCCAGCCTTCACAATCACCATGGACACTAGCACTAGGCAACGTTTCGAGCTGACCTAACTTTATCAGTGGAACCCTTCTGGACTTCTTTTTCAGGACCAAGTACTGAGAAGAAACAACGTGTGTTCATGCCGTCCGTTCTACCAATATTTCCTATTACCGTAAATCAACTATAAATACTGAACATCACTGACAGTACTTTTTCCTACACTTCTTCCGATCTTTATCCTCGGTTTTAACTTAGACGTGATTTTCTGTATTTTAAGTAAAGTGTAATAAATCTTAGTTCTAGATATCGTTCATGCAATCTTTGCTTTCAGATACAGTTTGGAGTGAAAATAACCACAATAAATATCATGAATAAACAAGACTTCTCCGACAAGTCATAAATAGTGCAGAGTACTCGATATTCACTATAGAAACATCGCCACGCTTAATTATCAGGATATAGAGATGGAATCCAAATAAAAATAGGCAAAAAAGAGGAGGTAGACGTCGATATCGTTAAATGATCGAAACATCAAAATTTACTCTGAACTAAAACAGAATGAATCAGAATAAAGGTATTTTGATAGAATCAACAAATCAGAAAGTAAGTCGAGAAAGAAGGCACGTCAGAATAAGTAATGCGGTAAAGGCAATTGCTTTCACGCTTACATCGTAGCAGCATATTAGTGTAATTGTCATAAGTGTAATTCCTTAATAACAATTATGTCAACTTATTAGCATCTACAACTTGTTTTTCTGCATTTCATTAGAAAAATCGGGAGGGAACCATTCAGTTGCTTCGAGTCACAACAGCGTTCAATACCTGGAATCAATTTGTCAAAATTTTTTAATTTAATTTTTTCCTCTAAAATAAGGATTGTTTTGCGATCGCACGAATTTACTGAGAGAATGGGTTAACGTAGAATATTTACCAAAATTGATAATCGATGAACTGCCGAATCAGTTGTAACGGCGGTTGAGAGCCATACGTATCTTTCATTGGCATGTTGAAATCATCCATGAAAGTCACCAGAATTTTTCCCGCAGCCGGAATGTAAGTTAACCTTGTACGTTTTTCCAATTTGCTTTCTATTATTTCTTGTACTTGATGTGAAGATGTTTGGCTAGACATATTGATGGTGAGACAACTGTGCTTAGTTTGATTGAATGATTGCAATACCCCTTGCGCAATTGAGGTCTTTCCTGCCCCGATGGGACCAAGTAGGAGGACTGGTTGGTTATTTTCCAAAAGATTTTTCGCCAGATATTCATATCTAATAGTATCGACCGTGGGGACAGCAATCTTGAAAAATGGCATTCTGAAAAGCAAAACAGCATTTCATATGCCTATAAAACCGAAATGGATTCAATGCAATCAGTAAATTTTTGTTATACTCAGATTGATAGCGCCAGCCAAGAGGTAATTTTTCCTCCCAAGAGATAAACCTGCAGTGTCTGACGTCGACGTAATACTCGTACACTGTATCCTGAAGGGGAAAAGCCCCTTCCAATTCCCTTATGTAGTTATCTATTCGCTCTCTTCCTACTTCGTCAACGGATCCACAGAGTGACCAAATCATGCTATGACATATATAGTAATCATGCTATTATATATAGTAAAGACGCGTGAGGAAGACAAGATAGATGGACCAGAATACGCAAGTCCGGTGAATAGAAAATAACATAAATAGCAATGAATAATAATAATGGCAGGTAATCCCTCCATTTAAAACAGAGGGTGAGATGTTGTTGTCGCTGATCTATTTCTACTATTCGTAGATAAGTGAAAACGCCATTCTGCTATACACACATAGGTAACCTGGGAACTGCCGATTTACGATACGTATGAAAAATTGTACTGCAATTAAGGAATCTGTGCGACCTCGTACTTTTCATTTGTTGTAACATTGACAAAATATGTAAGTCTCTTTAAAACATACATTTTACTCTCTTCCATTTTTTAGTCTAGTCGTCTCTAGTCAATTTACGAATTTGACTTTATTCGGAAAGTTATATTTTGCAAGTGAGTTATCACTTTCACACGACGAAGTATCACAAATTGATCGTTATGATGTGTGTTTTTTTTCCCAAACAATTTCCGCAGATTTTTTTAATTTGAAAAAATTGTTTTTTGGCATGGAGAAATTTGTAAGGTCATAGTTTTCCGAATATGCCCAATTTTTGGTTGAAAAAAAAGAGTACATTTAAACATCGATAACGAAGATTTCGCGTGGTCAGAGATTATGGGAAAATCATTAACAGTGTGGTTAAGTGGCGTTGAAGGCGAAATTCGGCAATTAAATTGTAGACTTTTACTTGGCTCCGTTTTTTTTTTTTTTACAAAACCCCAGTTTTTGTGATTTGGGGAGATTTCCCGGATTTTTGTATTGTGTCTAAATCGGGATAAAAGCCCCGACATCGAGACGCGTTGAGAACGCGGAGTGTCGTCAGTACTTCCGCAAAATCTGGAGGAGCCTACATGACCCCGATTAGAAGAATCAGAGGAAGGATCGAGCAACAGCATCCATCCACAGGCCTAGGTTAAATCAACGGACGCAAGAGGTGTCCTCGGCCGTAAAAGGTGTCGTCCTGGTCGGGGAAGAGACCTGGAGAGAGGCACCTTCCGAAAAAGGAACAGCTGACGTCACGGCAAGTCGAAAGGAAATTACTCGACCTGGACCTCCCTCCGAGAACACAGAAATTTCCACAAATTTTCTACACAGCTGATTCGTCGTCATGGTCCAGCACGAGATATTTATCTCCGCGAATTTTTTATTTGAACATTTTTCAAACACTTTTCAATTCATTTGTATTTAAACCGCTGCAAAATCATGTAAAGTTTAGGTCGAATTATCGTGGGATTTATTTAGAATTTATCGATAAAAATATTGCAAAATTCGTAGAAATTAATTGTAGGTTTATTTTCGATTTATATTCGGCATGTTCGAGAAATTTAGAGACGCTTACTTTATGTTGTGATTTCCGAGTATTACTTTGATTTGGAGGAAAACATGTAAATTACGGGGGAATTCTGAGAAATTTCTCCCCTTTTTTTCGAAACGCTCACGCATCGTGAAGCGTACCGACCCCAGCTTGAGCAGAGTTGCTTCCCGGCCGGCGTACCATTAAGTTCAGTTTTTGAGGAGAGAACCTCGTTTTCATTTTGAGTTTAGTTTTGGGCATACTTGGTGTCCTGGTTGCTGTCCTACCTGGAGGACGACGCGGTGGAGGGACTGAACAGGTGAACACGGCCGAATTATTTGAGTTTGGAGGAATTACAGAATTTTGGAGAGCCTTTTGTTGGCCAAGTAATGGCGTCCACTCTGGCGTCTTTTTGAGTTGAGAGAATCAGACCATTCCCTCTGAAGTCTAGAGAGTTGAGTATAGTCAGATTTAAGTTTTGTATTAATATTTTTCTGGTGTGCCTTATTGATTATCGGAAAGATCGATCGATGTGAGTTACTTTCATCGTATAAATTGTATTCTGTCGCAACGGGAACGCAATATCCGAAACATACTTCTTGTTTTATTTTATGTTCGACTTTCTCACCGTATGAATTATATTGTTTTTCTATTACGGGTTATAGATCTGTGTCTTTTTATTTCGAGATAGAGGAGAATCCCAGAGAGCGGACATCGTCCGCCTTCTCCCTGTAACAAGAAGGGTCTACTCATAAATGAGCAGCCAGCCATTCTCAGTTTCTGAATTTATCGATTTTAGCATTGAGCTTAGCGGAGACAGTGCCTCTTGAAAAATATTCACACTGACTGGCGCCCCGGCAATTTTGGGATTATATGATATCTGTAGTAGTGAATAAATTTACATTTTTTCAGTTTTAGTCTTAGAGGTCGTTGCGTACGTTACAAACTATTGAATTCACATCATTTTCTGACGAAACTGTTTTTGTGGGAAATTCGATTCTTGACATGAAAAACATAATAACAAAAACCCATATGTTCATAGGGTAATTGAAAATAATGTTCCTATCCGAGAATAATAACGGCCAAAATCAGATCCAGCCCTCTTCCGATTTCTGACGCAATTTTTCCGTTGTTAGTTATCTCAGATACCAACAGAGCACCATAATTTTGTCAAAAGACCTTGTTTGTTGAGCCCCAAGCCACGGCGTTAGCTACCGTATTGATGGCTGCGGGGCGCAGGTCGTGCTGCGTTGTTAATGGTTCCCCCCCGGATACCAGGCAACCTCCAGGCGTATTTAGCCAAGCCCCGGGCATACTAGGTTCTACCCGGGTGAGACCGCTTCACCTAGATACTCGTGGGATTTATATGGAGAAAAATAATTTTATGTATTCAGAAAAGATTCCTGGGGCCTCAGCGAACCAGGAAGAAGAAGACAAGCTGGTGTCTATCAAGACCCGGACTAAGTATAGCGGTGCTGCAAGCGATAATAAAGAGCAGGCAGCTCTCAGGGCTCAACAAGCCCAGAGAGATGGCGCTCAAGGGGATCAGTCGGTGGAGGTGCGGGGTGTCAAACGTAATGCCCTTGAATATGATACGCCGTATTATATACATATAGAGACCGCGACAAAAATGGTGTGACTAGCTCTTATCCCAGAGGGCTACCCGGACAAGAAAATCTCAACAGAGGATATGAGGGGCCTGAAGGGACTAGTGAAGTCTCAGATCCTACTCCTACCAAGGGGAACCAAAGCCCCGACCTTCGAGGGCATGTGGGAAAGAGAAGGGGCCGTCATTTTTGGCTGATCCGATGAAGAGATGGGGACATGGCTCAAAAGTTTATTCGCCGGAAACAAAATAGGGAACACGGGTTACCTGGTGCTCGACGCCGTGGAGCTGCCAAAGCGCCACAGAGTCGTGGTGCACGTGGAAGACGAGGACATGTCCACCGGGAAAGCAATCGATCTAATGGGCAGGCAGAATGCAGAACTCGCAGAAGAAAACTGGCTCGTCGTCAAGGGCAGTGAAAGCAACGGAGCCATGAGTCCATTTTGCTGCCCTTGTTAGCGAGAAAACCTTGTAGTGTTTAAAGGCCTGCAATTTTAGACCTCATTACGGGACTCAAAGAGCGTCGATCAAGACGCTCGAGAAGAACCGCACTGAGGGACAAGGAGCGATCGGCTACAGTATTCCGAGCGGAAGTTCTGGCACTCAAAAAGTGCTCAGAGATTCTGGTGTCCTGGATGACAACCAAAAAACATATATTCTTATGGTCAGCCGCTATAAAAGCTCTCCTTAAACCCAGTGCTGCCTCTAAGTTGGTCTGGGAAACCGTGGCCAGCATGCAGATACTGGGGACGAACAATAAGGTAACCCTAGCCTCGGTCGCAGGTCACGAAGACATCCACGGCAACGAAATGGCGGACGGGCTGGCAAAGCAAGGGGCAACAAATGCGGACGAGGCTTCGCCAGTGGGAGTCCTCCAAGCCGTGGGTAAAAGCCGCATAGAAGATAAACTCCGACGAGAACAGATTTGTTAAGACTGTCAAAAAAGGTCGGGCTGGACATATAATCAAACAAGCGGAGCTACAATAACTCTAACTTGAGTTCGGTGGCATTGGGGAGGCCAGTCCGACCCTTTGCGTTTATTAATCTAATCTAATCTAATCTTGTTTGTTCAGGGAACGGGTCATTTAGGGTGGACCGGGACAGTTCAGGAATTGTCGGTGATTTGGTGAATTTAAACTCGCGAAGATTATCACACACAACGAGTACAACTTAAACTTAAACACGATTACAACTTAAACTTAAACACGTGTGGTCATTCTTAACGCAGTTTATAGATTAATTTACAATGGATATATGGTTGATGTCCGTGTTTAGTTATGTTGATTTAACAGGTTAAGGAAATAGTTGATTTGTTGAATTTAGTTGATGAGTTACGGTGATTTTACGCGGTGAGTTTCTTTGATTTAAAAGATAAGGATACTCTTGCATTCCGGGGGAGGAGGGAGGGTGTCATTCTATGGTAACAAGACGCTTTGGCCGATGACCGTTGACCGATTGGTGACGGTAATTGCCACAGTTTTCCGATAATTTTCGGTGAAACGCCGACCGTCTTTAGCTTAATTCTAGAAAGACCTTTTTTGTTGCTAATGCAATTGAGCGGGTAAGAGTTTTTCTGACAAAATCCCTCGAAACTATCTGTTGACGAGATAATTAACAATTAAAAAATGGAAATGTGAGGACGGAAGAAACTTTTTGCAATCATCCCATAAAAACATGGACTTACAGGATGTTCTTATTAGTTTTTTTCATGTCGCGAATCGAATTTCTTGCAAAAACAGTTTCTTGAGAAAATGACCTGAATTCAATCGTTAATTAAATAATTTAAAAAATTATTGAACATTTTACTGGAATTGTTTAGAAAACTATTGGTGGCATGTTATTATACCATAGAACATGTTTAAATTAGACATCAAAAAACGCTCTCCACGTCAATGACAACTGATCGATGAATTTCGGACACTGCCGGGGTTCATCGGATGGGTGACGCGAGGGTCAGCAAGTAGCATGAGACCTCCTAAATTTCAGTCTTTGCCGAAGTCTTGTATCGTACAATCAGCGCCCTAGTGAACATCTCAACGTTTCTTCCACATTT